GTTCTCACCAATGCAGTTTCGTGGACCTTCGCCAAATGGTAAATAAGTGTAAGGATGCCTTTTTTCTATTTCGTCAGCGTTGAATCGCTCTGGATCAAATTTATCCGGATCCGGATATATTGACGGATCTCGATGCAAACCAAGCATTGGTATAGTTATTAAGGTCCCCTTTGGCACGCGAATATTTGTTGTAGGTAAAACTACTTCTTTGGTGCAAATGCGATTCAAATAAGGAAGAGGTGGGTATTTCCTCATAGTCTCTGCACAATTTGTAAGAGAAAAAGTATGAGAGTACATCTCTTCCAAAAAAAACAAACAATTTATATACTTTACATAAAAGTATATGTAAGAAATTTATCTTTATGTTGCAGAATCTTCCTCTTTTGTTAAAAATTGCATCTCTGAAGTGGAGACTCTTAAGTAGAAATGCGATAATATACTTGCCACTTATTACTTTGTGAAGATATGTCATTTCGTTCACACCGTCATACGTTAAATCGTTATACTTTGCCAATATTTTGTCAATTTCTTTGTGAACTTTATCTTGTATATCTTGATGTTGAGCTAATTCATACAGAGCGAAAATCAACGTCATCGAAGTGGTTTCAAAGCCAGCTATGAAAAAAATATAACTTTGCGCAGCAGCTTCTTTCATAGTCAGTTTATTTATGTTTGCTGTGGGTAAATAAATTAACATAGTTTTGTTACTGATCTCATGTAAAAAATGTTCAGAAGAAATCTTAATTATCATAACTGCAATGCAAGATAACATATACCCAGACAGCCAGTTAATGCAGAAACAGATTTTGAGTAGAATCTGTTCCCAATGTTTGATGACAGAAAGCCTACAAATTTTGGACAGAGTCTGTAATATCTAACAATGTTAGTAAATTACTTTTATGATATAAATATGTAACAAAATAACAAAAAAGCTTGCTGATATACATTTGCATTGGCAGCAGAAATCTGCAAGTAGGATTTGCAGCTCCTGTTCAATTTCTGCTGCCAATCTATTAGCTGTCAGCAAGCTTTATTGATAAATCCTGAGCTTAATGCGGATGCAAATGGCTTATATCAGTGAAAATCTAATCGAATTTGCTGCCAATTTAATTGTCAGTAAATTGCAAGCATTTTGCTATCAGGGTATCCAGATAGCAAAAGGCAGAATGTCGACAGACTGGTAGCTTTTAAATAGAAAATATCAGCAGATTGACATTTTCTACATGCGTGTTGCATCAACTGTTTCATTCTGCTCCATTTTTGTCGACAGAATTTGTTAACATGCTTAGGTACATATTGGTGGCAGAAATCAAACAGAACCTGCTGACAAAACTTGACCGCAGACTAGCGACCAGGATCTTATACTGACGGAATCTGATGATAGCAAATTCGTTTAAATTGGCAGCAGAAATCGAGCAGATTTTGCTGTTTTGTTCTAAATATTTAAATTGTGACATCATTGCGGTATTGAAAGATTATTAAAAATGATATTTTTATTTTTTTGCGAGAAACGGATACTAACACATAGCGACAGTTTTGCAAGTACTTAATAGTGATAGCGCAGATTCTACTCAGTTTTTGTCGACAATCTGACAACTCTGCGCTTGAGAGATCTGCTCGATTTTTACTGCCATTTCGCCATCAGATTATATCGCGCAGATTCTATTCTATTCTATCGCTAATCTGCCGTCAGATTATGTCAGCAGACTTATATTTCTAATAACAGTTTGCTGACATTGTTATATGTATTAAACTCTGTGTGCAATATGTTGTCATTCTACGATTAAACATTGATTAATATCATGTTATGTCCAAATTTTGGCTGCGTTCAGTAGAGAAAGCAGCTT